AGCAGCAATGCCAACCTACACCCGTGCAGCAGCTCCAGCGCTGCGTAGGGCTTGGCCGATACTCGAGACTGGAGCTGAACAGAAAAATATTCATGAGATAGAAAAGCTGAGCCTGCCAGCCACATCCCAGAACAAACCGCTCACTGGCTTGGGCGCTCATTTAGGAGGTTAGTATTAAGTGTCCACAGGAAAATAATAAAACCAATAATCATGCACACTGCCCAATTGGGAAAGGACAACTTTCCCCCGTTCAAGACAAACGGGATGTGTACAAGGCTGGGTTGGCATCTCCCTCTTGCTCTCCAGACCAAGGATCACACGAGGTGGAGAAGGGAAAAGATTCCTTTAGCATTTTCTCAGCAAACTATAAACGGACAGAGCTGGGCTCAAGGCCCCGCTCCAGTGTTTGTGGAACAGTTTCCATTTCCACGTCTCTTTGCGTTTCAGACAAAAGCAGAACAAAGCTCACCTCTGAATAATGCAATAGGCTGATGCTTAGGATACTCGAGTGAAAGGCAGGAGAACCAAGTTCAAGTCCTTGCCTTGAATGAGGCAAACATCAAATTCAGATTGCTTATTTCCTACACACCACACTGGCATCTCTTTTGATATTTCACTGCTTTTGACCTGCACAACCCACTGAAGAAAACTGTGGGAAATCTGCACCTGCCATGACCGGGGGGGGGAGGGTTTGCTGGGGTTTTTGGTGTTGGGGTTTTTTTCCCCTAAATAATTGCCACTTTCTCAGTAGGTGTTTGAAATAGAGTTCTTGTTCATATTAGTTTAGTATTAGGTGGACTAATTAGTGCACCCCGACACAGCTGCAGGAGCATGCTGATGTGTTTTATAAATTATGTATGTGCTAGAATTAGCTTATTGAAGAATTCCTGAAGACCTACGTGCATACGCACATAGTAATTCAGTTGTTGCAGCTATTTGCATTGCTCTTCGGTACTCTGCAGACCCTGCAGCAGAGCACTGAGCTTCCCGGGTTTGGCAAAAAATTCAGAGAATCTGAGTGGGTGAAAATGAGAGAAAGCACCAGATGTAAAGGATACCTCTCTCCATATAGTACTACCTGTAAAAAGAGATGAAAATTCACTAGTGCAGATCATTTAAACTCAGTAAGTAACAAAAAAAATCTGTCTTGCTCTTGTCCACAAACAGCAAAATAAATTATAACTGCAAATAAAAGCATCCTAAGACCTTAGTAGTATCAAGCCACATCAGCTTCTGACGACCAGTGAGGAAGAGACCTCGATCTGGTCACCAGGATGTGACAATGCAGGAAAGTACAAGACCTCAGCAGTAGACCTAACTGCATTTGTTGTCTTTAAATATTTGAGCAAGAGTGATTTTCTAGCTACTAAGTGACATGGCTTATAAACAGAGATTAGGACCAAGTTTCAATCACTTATTATTTTATGAAACTTGGGGGGAAAAAAATCCACTGCAATTTTTGGAGAAGAAAAGGTTCTGAAATAAGTTGTCCTTCCCAATTGTTACTCCACAACAGGCTGGATTTCAGAACATACTGCGATCAACTGGTATGCCCACGGTCAAACCCTGCACTCTTCCCTTCCCAAGGCAGCTCCATCTTTCTGTGTGTGCTTTGTCTGCGACAGCCAGCTGCTCCTCAACAGCAAAGCCTGCTCTCTATTGAGCCACTCACCTTGGAGAAGACTTGCCAGCTTTGGTAAGAGGATCACTTGAGAGCTGGAAAAACCCCAGCAGAACTTTGGTTGGTAGATCTCACATTCTCCTGCATCTTTGAAAGCAGTTAATAGCCAGCCCAGAAAAGCCTTGTGCTTGCCTGCTTCAGAGGAAGAGGCAGCTCCGACTCTCTTGCAAACAGGCTGGTTTGTCATGAAAGCTTTTAACAGAGAAAGCTGGAATAAGCAAATACATAGCTCGTGAGCTTATAGGAAAATCAAAAAGAATTTCTTCAAAGATCAATCTTTCTCCATCCAAAGTGTAATGAAGAGACATAAGGGAGAGTTTTTCTTTCTCACTGATAAGGTTTTCTGGAGATGAACTGTACAACCCGGCCTAGCAAAGTTCCCGCCGTAACAAGTTGCATGGTAAGTAAATAGTGGCTAACTAATAGGGCAGTTCAATATTTGGACAACTTTTTCGTTTCTAAGTACATGGCACAGATAATTAGAAAGGTGAATTCTCTTCAGATGAACGTGTAAGATTTTCCACTGAACAGCTTATTCACTTTCCCCAGAAATGGGGAGGGACAATCCCAAACACACAGCAACGCTCGGATCTAGCAGCCCAGGAAACCGGATCGATGACAAAGCAAAGCAACCTAACAAAGAGCGGCTCTCTTCATTGCTGACTACCTGCAGCAGACATGCTGCTGCTTGCTTGCCTTTTTTTTTTTTTTTTTTCCTCTGTCTTTTCCAGATAATGCAGCTGCCTGGTGCTGATAACATTTATTTATGTGAGGTGAACCCACTGATTCGGAAGCTACAGTTTTTGTGTGTGAGGAAGTTTCCTGCAGACAAAAGGTTAAGATCTCGGCCCACCTTCCTTCTCCTGCTTGACAGAAACTAGAAATAACAAGTATGCAGCAAGCACAGGAGGCTGTCTTTGGGAAACCACAGCAAACCTTTCTACCCAGAGCCTGTGGAGGAGGTTAACACCAAACCCAGCAGCTTTTATTCTGCTTGTGAAAACAAACAAAAGAACCAGAAAGTGAGACTAGGAGGCATTTGAGGAAACACTGAGAAAAGATGACCATGTCAAAGGAGAGTGGAGACGCTCATTCACGGGCAATCTGGGTGTTCTTCAGAGGAGAGCAGAAGAAGTGACAGCTAAGAAAATGTTTCCAATGTAAGGAACTTATAAAAAAAAAAAAGGTAGTTTTGACTGAGCAACCTCAAGATTTTGGCTAAACCCCAGCATTTACAATATGGTGTTTACACAACCAAGGAGAACACTCCTATTGCAGTGTTGATTGCAGATCAAGATCTTGATTGCAGTGATCTCAAATATAATCAGTACAGAACAATTTTTTTCAATAAGGTAACAACGTATCAGCTTGTTCTTATTGCCACTTTCACTTGTGTTTGAAAACATCCCTTTCCCTTTTAGCTTCTTAAACACTACATCGTATCTTACTCTCAGTTCTCGCTTAGCAAAGCTGACCAAGCATGGGCAAACAGCCTATGGCACACAGTAGTTGTAAGAAAATTTTTCTGCTCATATTTTTCACTCTCCCTCCCATACCTTTCCCTCCCAGCATCCCTTCTGAAGTGCTCCTTTACTTTCATCAGGTTTAACAGGGCATCTTGTTTCTTTCCCCTGGTACCAGGTAGCTGTGCATATGAAATAATTATTCTGAGACCAGTGCTCTACAGCAGCATACTGCTAGAGTCATAGCGAAAGCAAAAATCTCCTATTCCTTAAAATAATCTAGACCTTCCTCGGTACTGGGCTTGAAAGCCTGTGGCAATTACGGGGGTCAAAAGAAGCCTTTTTCTGTTGTCAGCACCGCATGGCACAAACACATGGCTGTCGTGCCCTTTATAGGTGGTTTCTTTTCCCTTCACACACTGACTGCTCTTACCTTGTTGCTAGGGAAGCAAGTGCAATTCTGCCAATTCCAGCATGCCAGAACTGGGAGGACTCACTAGATGTTCCATTAAAAACAGAGCCCAGGCAAGAAAGGACTCCGTCCACCTCAACAGCACACCAGTTCCCAGTAGCCAGCAACCAGAGCTTTGCTCCTGCTCAAGTTCCGATTGCCAGACTTGGAGTCCCGGGGTCCTCACACGTGGGGACATTTCTCTGAAGTTCTCCCTTACACACACCACTCTGTTGAATCCATCTATCCGTCTGCAGTTTTAAATATTTGCAGCACAGTGGTGGAAAACCAACTCTGATCTTCAATGCCAACCTGTTTTGAGCTTTTAGCTAAGAAAACTGCTAAAAAAGCAGTTTTTTAAAAAAAGCTTTTTTAGCAGTTTTCAGACTTTACCAATTGTTGCCGTTAACATGCATCGGTTACATTATCCATCCTTCTGCTATTTTCTTTTTGGCCTGCTACCTCCCAAAAATAAGCACATGGGGGAAGGGAAGGGCACAGTCAAGATACATCCCAACACTCACAGCCATATTCATCATAATAATAGTAAATAAAAATAATAATAATGAATAATCTCTATGCATTAAGCTCACAGAAAGCTCATTCATGTCTCAATGCCCGATTTTTAATAGCCCTTGGTTAGAGTGAGGCCTACAGCGTAATACCTTCCTCCTGCCAAACAATCACATTTTAGTCTAGTGATGACACTGTGTTATTCAGTTCTTTTCTTAAAAAAGACCCACAAAATTGAATGTCACCATGGGAACAGTCTAAAGTTGATTTTGGAAAAAGGCTCACTTCCTATAGCTTTGCTGTTGGCATAAAAATAACGTCACTGAACTGTATCAGAAGCAAGTGCCTTATGACGTATCATCTCTAAAGATACCAGTCAGTTCTGAAAATATCCTCCCTAATGGTTGCATTTCTTTAGGTTCTGAAGCAGAATAAAATGGCCAGAAGGGCTTCTTCCCTGTTTTCCTCAACAAGAAACACACCCCAAGCTACCATCAGTGTGATCTAATTCAATCATTCTTCAGCCTGTAATGTGTCAGTATGGAAAAATTCCTTCTTAGAAGAACAATTAAAACTTAAAGCAGTCATCCTGGTTGGCTGGCTGAACAAACGACACATGTTCACACAAGAATAATTCAGTCAACCGTCTTAATAAGGATTTACTTTAAACAGAACCTTGTATGGGTACACTAGACTCAGTCTCATTAAGGAGTAAGTTGGATTTTTTATACAGCATGAACCATTGGCAATCTAAAACAGACCCACTGAAGAATGGAATGGAGAATCAAACGCAATGTGTCAGACCCAAGCTCTATGTGCCTTTAATACTTTCTTTTTCCTTTTCCTTTTTTTTTTTTTTGAGAGTGCACACTACGACAGACATTTGCATTTATCATGTTTTTAACTTCTTTTCTAAGGATGAAGACTCTGAATCTGCATCTTCCAACTCCGCTCTGTGTCTTTTCAGTCCTCCGAGAGACTGAGTGCTCTCACTGCCCGTCGGATGGAAGTCAGCAGTATCCTCTCTTGTGCTCACATTGTAGCTGTTGGAGTCCATTTCAGACAGGCAGCAGTCTTTGTGCAAGGTCACGCCCATCTGTACAAGGTTGCCATTATCAGCATTTGAGTGCACCTGTAGTCCTTGCGTCACAGTCTCCTGCTCCCCAAAACTCTGTCCATTGTTGAAGCATGAAGGGCGAAGATGCAAGTGGCCGTTATTGTGGTTAACACAGGAGGTGTCGAGGCTCCTCTCCTCACTGTCATCAGTCTGGTTTCTGGAGCAGTGACCCGACATGCTATGGATGGCAACAGTGGAGAACGGAGGGACCAGTGAGTGATGGCTTGATGCTGGTTGACAGTTCTGACTATTTTTCTGTTCCACAAGTCCTCCAGTCTGAATGCAAGGTTCTTCAGTACAACTATTTAGCCCTTTGCGGTTAGCTTTTCCATTGAGCTTTTTAGTCTCAAAAGAATGCTCTATACCTCCACTACTAGTGTCTTCAGATGTGTTTTCTTGACCCTCCACATGCCGCTGATTGTCACATTCATGAGCTTGACCATTACTAGAATTTTCTATCAAGCCACATTCTTTTAAAGGTTCTTTGTTGCGGCTTTCAGTAGAAAGAGCTGGGGAACCTTGAGGAACTACTGAATTCAAGTTCCTACCATCTTCCTTATTTAGCAAGTGTGCTGTACTGTGCCTTCCACTAGTTCCTGGTTTCCCATCATCATTCTCTCCATCTCCTCTGGAGGATTCACCATCTTTACTAGCTGAATATGATATGTAAGAATAATGAAGCCATTTGTAAGCTTTGTAAATCTTTCTCTCCACTGATTCACTGTCTGAACAAGGAGACATCCTTTCTTTGTGAACTTCTTTGATGGCTGAACTCCTTTCTGGTGAAGAAGCTGGAGAAGAAGAAAGGTCATCTACTTTGATCTGTGGGTAATCATAGATATCCTCACCTATGTAGGGGGTCACATTCTCTGTGTTAGTGCTAGTCCTTTCCTCCTTTTGCACCTTCTGTCGGCGCCTCAGCGCATTGCGTTGCCTCATAGATGTGCGTCGTTCATTCAGTTCCTCTTCATCTTCTGTACTGCTGCTGCTGCTGGAACTGCTGGATTCATTCTCCTCAGGACTCGGGGACCGTGGCCGTGGGAAAAGGTCTGTATCTAGTTCTGCCTCACAGGTATTGTCATCAGAGTCAGATTCATTGGAAAGGGCCAGGAGACGTTTATCCTGATACTTTCTCAGTGCAGAGAGCCTCTGCTGACGGGAAGCCACGTCTTCTCTGGCTGAGGGGGATTCAGTTGATCTTAAGGCCCTTAAGTTATAGGCAGTTTCATCAGACTCTTCAGCCACATGTGGTGGGGAGTGATGCAAAGAGGCAGAGGACTCCGACTCACTGTAAGCAGAGCGTTCACTTACTCCTGCGTGGAGCTGCAGGATTGTGCTCTCACTGAGGTCACTGTCTGAGTCAGAACTCCATCCCTCAATCTCCCGGCGCACCAGGGAGTCAAAAAAGGCCATCATCCGCGGATCTTCCTGGACTGACTGGTTGGCATAATCATGGGACAAACCACTACCACTGTTCAAGACAAGACTGATGTACTCTTCATGAGTGTAGAGGCAACGTGAATCATCCTCAATTCTACCATCCAGATCCCCTGTGCAGTCAGGCTGCTTGTAAGGACTCCAGATCTGTAATAGAAAATTAAAAAAAAATACGTATGTTTTTGAATTCATAAACTATTATAAGCGTTTGAAATAGAACAGTAGTGCAAATACCCAGAACAATTGCAAGTTGCTGATTGTTTTTATTAATTTTTATGCTTCAGACCCATATTTACCAGTATTCCAGAGATGTGGGGGCTTTTTTTCTCCCCCTTTACAAATGCGTTTTTCCTGCATCTACTTCACCCATCCAGAACTTAACAGCTCTCACACTGCAGATTAGCCATCATTTCAATATTTCATTGTGTAATAATTTCTCCCAAATTGCAGGGCTCTATTTTTATGTAATAGGGGATGCTTACTCACTAACGGTAAGAATAGTTTGTTGCCTACAATACAGTCTTAGCACTAATGAAGGCACTTGTTTCCCAGGAAACTAGAGTTGCTTGTGCCAGTGATGTAGAGTAACATTTCATCCAGCTGCATAGTCAGTCACACCTCATCAGCAGGCAGGGAGCTGAACGTATGGAGGTGAAAAGCAGAGCTGCACTACTCCCTTTAGGGAACAGTCATGAAGGAAAGAAAGCATCCAAGATCCTCTCAAGATACAGCAGCAGTTTTAGTTAGCAGGGAAAGGTGAAGAGTTTTAAAGAAAGCTACTTTTGAGGTGGAGAGAGGTGGTAATATTGCGAAGTGTAATGATTTCACCAACAGCAACAGCCTTGACTGTGCTGTCCTTCTACCCTTCCCTCAGTTTTCCTGGTGTGGAGGGGAAAAGGGGAAAAAAGGAAAAACAGCCCCAAAGAAGATCCACCAGTATCCCTAAGAAACTGGTAATCCATAGAAAACATAACAGTTGGTTCTCCTCACCTTTCTCAGTTTTACTCACAGATTCGGGGGCAATACGATTAGGGCACTCAGTGGACAACCACTATCACTTTATTCTAGATCAATGGTTAACATGATGCACAACACTTACTGTAAGCAGAGCTAGTATTTAGCTTATTCACAATACTGCCTTAACATTCTGCTTATAAAATATCTGATTTCAGTCATGCTTTGGTTTTACCATGCTAACAAGCTCAGGGAAAAAAATTCTATGCCAGCTGTCTATACCAGGTTGGTCTTTTGGGATAGACTTTGGCAAAAACATCTAACTTTTCCCAACAGAAATTAGTCAAGTTTTGTTCCAAGCAGACAAAACCATTGAAAAAAAAAAAAAAAAAGTGTTTTGCCTGTGTAAATGGGATAATCAGCACTCATCTCACAGATGTGTAGTTAACACATGCAACATAATCTGATACTACCATGACGAGCTCTATAAAAAAAGCCCACGAGAATGCCAATAATTCTGTATTCACAGAGATTTTCAACAGTGTACAGTAAGACCTTACACCTTTAATGTTGGAAGTAAAATGAAATAAATTATCTTGCAGCTACTTGTTCAGCACAGCCAAATTTCAGATGTACAGGTAACCTTAATTCTGGAATAATTCTGGGAAATTCTCCCAAACTCGAATGCCTTTACTTTGCATTCTCTGTAACCTATGGTTAACAGAGCCTCCACATATGATCTGGCTACATAGATAAAAGAGACACTATTCCAAAATTAAAGTGGGCTGCAGATAATCCTTTTTCTGTACGACAATCATCAAGCTGCCTTGCAGATGCATTACATTAGCCTGTCCCTAAGAACACGTCTGAATATCAAGGTGTATTTGCTATTTGCACTTAATTGCTGTTTTTATTATCTGCAATAAATCACTAAGCAAATTCTCTTCCAGTACAGTTCATTAATATAATATTTGAAACCAGAATGAAGACAGCTTCCATTGCTTGGTTCAAGCACTGCACTTACTAGACACATAGCTCAAGGGACAAGCATCAGGTTTGGATAAAGATAACAAAACCCAACCTAAGCCCACTATGTATAGACTTCCATCAACCATACTTAACCTTTTTGAATTACTCAAGAAAACAGAAAGAATCTCTCTTCATCCTCTATTTTCCATGCTCCACTTCCTAAAGACAACATAGGAAAGAGTCTTCTCTCAGTGGATGCATGAGAGAGTTTGTTGACTTGGGGATACACCAAGTTTTTGAATAGAAAAACAGAACTCTACTTGCTCAAATGACTATTCTGAGTTGCTGCCTTCTTGATGATTTAACTAGCACATGTTCAGTACCTTCTCCACAATTTATCAGATCTTTTCGCCTCTTTGTCCCACTACTGAGCATTTCAGCAAGTAGATCAGATGGTTTTGTATTAAAGAAGCATATACCTTCTTGTACATGTTTCATACTGTATGCCTGGAAAACAGGCTGGCATGCCCCTTTCTCAAATAGTCTTAGCAGTGTTAGAGTGATCACTAGGTTTTATAAAACTTTTTTTTTTTTAAGCAAGAGAATTAGAAAACCCTTAGATTCGGTATGAACCAATATAAATGGAGGAGAGTTACTCTGCTCTGAAGTCCCTCTGGGAAAGGTCTGATTGATAATGAAAAGTCATCTAAAAAGGTACATAAAGTGTGCACAGAGAGATTCCACAACCTTCTTCGTGCTACCAGATCTTTCTGCTCATTCTGCAAGCATTAGAGAAAACACAGCAGTGTTAAGTAATGGATTGAGAGCAGCCCTGAGAAGGGCTTGGGGATGTTGGTTGATGAGAAGCTCAACATGAGCCAGCAGTGTGCGCTTGCAGCCCAGAAAAACAACCGTGTCCTGGGCAGCATCAAAAGAGGCGTGACCAGCAGGTCAAGGGAGGTGATCCTGCCCCTCTACCCCGCTCTTGTGAAACCCCACCTGGAGTACTGCGTCCAGCTCTGGGGGCCCCAGCACAAGAAGGGCATGGGGCTGTCGGAGCGAGTCCAGAGGAGGGCCACAAAGATGATCAGAGGGCTGGAGCACCTCTCCTATGAGGACAGGCTGAGAGAGTTGGGATTGCTCAGCCTGGAGAAAAGGCAGCTCCAGGGAGGCCTTATAGCCGTCTTCCAGTACCTGAAGGGGGCCTACAGGAAAGCTGGAGGGGGACTGTTTATCAGGGAGTGTAGTGACAGGACAAGGGGTAATGGCTTTAAACTGGAAGAGGATAGATTTAGATGTGATATTAGGAAGAAACTCTTCACTATGAGGGTGGTGAGGCACTGAGGTTGCCCAGAGAAGTTGTGGATGCCCCATCCCTGGAAGTGTTCAAGGCCAGGTTGGATGGGACTTTGGGCAACGTGGTCTAGTGGAGGGTGTCCCTGCCTATGGCAGGGGGATTGGAACTAGGTGATCTTTAAGGTCCCTTCCAACCCAAACCATTCTGTGATTCTATCGTATGATTCTATGACAAGTATTGAAAAGATAGCTACAAGGAGTCCACAGTGAGACTTTTCCCTTCTGAGACACATTTGTTCACAGAGGAGGAATAAATAATAAAGAGAAATCAGGGGAATTCAGGATGAAGACCTGTTTGTACAGGATTGGATGTCTCTGGAAATTGATATTCCTACTTTTCAGACATTTTGCTATGAGAGAGTGCGAGGGCCTGCCGGAGTCCCAGAAAGAAATCAGACTAAGAATCTATCCTTGGCAGAATCAGGAAGTCTTTAAACTGGCAGCAACTGGTCCAGTGCTCTCTGTGGCATCTGAAATGGGCTGCTTTGTAAATGGAATGCCTTTGCCTTTTTCTCATCCTCTGACTGATGCCATGTCAAGGAAGAATGTGAGCAAATTGGAGAAAATAAGTTGGCAAACCATCCCACTGAAGCAACAATCTATCAAGAAGTTCTTTCTCCATCAGAGGATTAAGGAACTGAGTATTACTCACTCATGCCCCGAATACAGATACAAAAATAGGAACGGTAACAGAAAAGGGGAGTACAAAACTGGTTCTCTACTTCAGCAGAGATGCTTCAAAGAGCATCTTTGAATTGCTTGTATTCCATGGTGGCAACCCCCCAAATTTTAAAACAGAAAAGTAGTTATGCCCATAGCGTGAGAATAATTAAACCCAGCTATATTAGATTATCTGATTAGGCAGAGGCAGCTAGCCACAATGACATTAACCTGTCACCATAGCAACATGGGCAAATAGACTTGCTATCTTTGATATAGCGGTGTTTTTTAAACAAATGGGACCTACAACAGTTGTGCTCAGTTACACAGTATTCCATTTCCAATACAAAACAGTATTTCTGTCTGAAAATCCTTATGCACTTTATCTATTTTATCTTTTCTGGAACTGTCTTCTAACTGTGTAATTCTCCATGACCCTCCTCTAAGCCCCACACATCAGGGGGAATGCCTCATTTATTTCTCTTGCAATGCAATTTGTTTCCCTGCCATTGCAACCCAATGTCTCACACGCTTACTGAGGGGAAAGTGGTATTTTTCTATTTTATATTGCTTTAGCCCTTGTAGCGAATGCTTGCTGCAAATGACAATTTTAGTTCACAGCTGTGCTTTTCCATACTATTTTACTGAGATTCAGGTTTCTGAAATGGAGGGTAATGAGCGATTCATCTGGGTTGACGTGTCCAGCACACACTGTCTGGAGTCAAGGCTTCTCATATCCTTTGTTAATCAGCTTGTTGAGCCTTATTTTAGGTTTCTGAAACCTCCTCACTTGAATATTGGCACACACCCCCCCCCCATACTATCCATTGTATTCTCAGTCCTAGCAGAAATCAAACCCTAAACCACTGAGTTACTGAATTATATTCTTGCAGGTGCTTTACAACAAAATAAAACTAAAGCAAAAAACCCATAACTACAAAGGTCAAAATCATTCTTGTGAATACTATTAATTTCAACAGGGCTAGGCCTGAGATGAATTTGTGTCATTTGCAATCAGCATTAAAATAGCAAGTGTGTTGGCAGAAGCACATGGAATTATTGAATGGCTTGTCTGTATCATGCCTTGATGCTGGTGCTATCAGTTCCTCACTTCTAAAAGTACTAAATTTAAGCCAGCTAGTCTAAAAATTAAGGGCTCAGACAAACAACTACTTGCATCCACATTTTTAACCCATCACAGAGTTTCTACAATTGAGGGAATAGAATACCAGCCAACCACAGTGAAGTTATCTTCTGTGATCTAATTCCAGAAAGATTTTTAGAAGACACATGAAGGACAGCAAAAGGAAGGACACTTCTTAAGGAACTGATTAAAACAAGCAATCAAACAAAATCCACCAAAACAAGAAAACACAAAAGAAAATAACTACAATTTTTATTTGTGGCTTTTCCTCTTGTCATCAACTTCTCCGAGCAAGCACATCAAGCATTTATACAGGGGAAAGAGAAAGAGTGATGCAAGGGAAGGATTTGTGTTCCCAGCTGGTTTTAATGCAGTAAATAGCCCCTCAGAAAACAAGCTCAGGTGCTGTTTTTCCTGTTTTGCCCTTCTGCTAGTGGTAGTTACCAGCCTCCACCCTATCTGTAGAAGCAGCTGAAAAGAAGAAACCATCATTATATGGTCACCTGTAAACTGCTGTTCACTAAGTTCCTTTAAAGAGTGAAGTCATGCAGACCAGACAAGATACGAGCCTTAAAACAACCTGATCCATAAACAAGGCACATTACAAGCTGAGCCAAAATGACACACAACAAAAGGGTAAGAAGTTCTGGCTTCTTAACTCATTAAACATCTTTCCCTTAATTTGTTTCTAGCTTGCAATGTTTGGGGAATTCAGTTCCTTCAAAGCAGCTACACGAGTTCCATTGCACATACTGCGACACAACAGGCATTCTCTTCTAAGGAAGCATTCAAGCAGAGGTGTCTTTGAAAGAGTTACACAACCTGTGACTGGAACCTTAATCGAACTAACCTTTTAATCACTAGGCAAAAAACCCCCCCATCAAAACCCTAGCAGAAGTACACAAAAGCAACACAGGAGATGTTTATACCAATGCTAATCCAACAGTCTAAGCACACTCATGCAGGAAAGATTCACAGGGTGAAGGGTCAGTAGACCTAAAAATCCAAAAGGGAGAACTCAGGCCGCGTGAATCCAGTTCCCAAAGCAAAAAAAAAACCCCGCCTCTGGCAAAACTGTTGTTAAATGGTGGCAGTTTGACTGCTTGGAAAATGAAGAATCAGTGAGCTGCTAAGACCGTTCAATGCACTTTTGTTCAAAGCCAGTATTCTATAGATTTGTGATCAAACCTGTCAGAGGGACACAGATGAAGAAAAAAGTAGAAAAGTAAACTAAAGTACCAGTGGAAGACAGAAGTGAAGGAAAGTCGAATTACAATCAGAACCCAAATGCTGATAGTAGCTGTAATACAAGCGATGCAGCTGGGCACTGGGCCGTGGTCCCAAGGATTTGGGCCAGTTCTGGTCCATACATTGCAGACCACTAAAACATTCCTTTGCAGGACAAGTACATTCAGCCAACTTGTAGCTAAAGCATTTACTAAGACTCAGAAACCTCATTTATAGGCACATGCAGGTAAGACTTTTATGAAGTCATTCAACAAACAGAAGCAGCATCAGTTCTCATTATCCTACTTGAAAATTAAATCGTTCTAGTTTCTTTCATCTTGTTGATAGACCTAAATTACAGCAAAATTTCTACAGCAGCAGAATGCAAAGTGCATTAGTGTAGCATAATCCTCTGCCTCCCCACCCTCACCCTCTGCTATGAGAAATGACAAAAAAGTTTCTGCCTTGCTCCCACAATATTGGCTGTCTTTTCTTAAGGAAAGAAAGTTTCAGAACCTAATAAATTTTGTTATCTCTTTACATTCCACATAAAAAAGGCAAAAACTTTCTAAAAATACTGTACATTGTTAGATGACTCAGAAAAGACATATTGTGGAAGGCATTAAGAGTCCTGTTTCCTCTGGAAGCCACAGAAAGGTATGTCGAATTGATTCAATGCAGAAGTGCGTACAAAAATTATAGAAGAGCTCCTGAGGCAGTATTTGGGCCAAATTCAGCTAGGTCAGGCTAGGCTAAGGCTCAACAATACTCTTTGGAGAGATTTTTATTAAATTTTAGCCCAAAGTATCAGAAGTCTGAGAAGATCAAATGTTACAGCTGTGACCAAGCTCTCCTGAGAAAGACTGTTTGCATGATACTTCGGTTATGTACAGAATGATACTGGAAAAAAATTCCTTTTTCAAGGTACAAATCCAGGAAATTCTGATCTTATCCCTTACCTCTAAAACCTTTAAAATTGAAACAGTGTAAAGTTGAAATACCCAATGAAAAATCTGCATCAGTTTAGCCAGCAAATGAGACACATCATTTTACAAAAGAGTAAGATGAGGAGACAGGATGCTGAGCGAAACAAAGCATTTCTTCCTGAAATATTGAATGAACAACTTTTCTGATAATTAATCTTACCTTTATAATCTTTTCAACGCCAGAAGAACAGATCATGTAAGTGTGAGGATTAAAGCGGACTTGGTTTACAATCGACCGATGACCTTTCAATACCATGAAAGCACCATTGACGACCCTGCCAATGCCACCTAGGGGAAAAACAAGCACACACTGAAATGAATAATTAAATCTTCATATTGTTTTCATTCATAATCATTTAAAGTCGTATTATATTTCACAATGCGCTTCAGCTTTATTTTGCAATATTTTAAGGCCTGTGTTGGCTGCAGAATTCCAATTTTATGAGCAATGCCCCTATGAAAAGCTGCAAGTTTGATGAAAAGCATCCTTCCTGCAAATTAGGACTTGGAAGCTAGCTTTAGTTCAACTATCTAAACAAACAATGAAGGTTTTTGACCTAATATGACAAGTATGTGAATAAGAACAACATACATACTTAATGAAATCACCAGTGAAATCATAGTGCCTAAGGCATGACGCTACTGACAGTTTGTAAATTTGAAGCAGTGACGAATAAAGAGGTTGACTTTTTTAATAGCTATACTTTTTTTTAAATTTATTTTTAAAATCAGCAATAAATTACTGTCATAGTTGACTCTAGTCTGACGGGTAGGAATCTAGAGGCGGCAATCTTCAAGGCTACTAACCTCAGTGACTACATTACAGCTGGACTTAGTATAGCCTTCCCTATACCAAGATCTAAAACAACTTGTATTTCTGTGAATCAAGCTTAAAGAGAGACCCGAAATAACACATCTGACCAGTGGGTTATATCATTCTTTGTCACAAGACAGGGAATTAGCTGAAGTGGAATGCTTTTGTGCTAATGGTAAAACTCAAACCAGAAGCCAGACAACTTTTCTGCTTGGTCATTGACTCTTACTAGGTCTATATACCAAAGCAAGAAACTGTCACACAGTAATTTGTTATATTCATAGATTCACACAATTAAAACCATAAATTCGTTAGAAAGCACACCTGTGTATCTGAAGCAACAAGTGTCAATCAACATGCTTTCATTAACAACTCCAGTGAAAGAAACCGAAACTTTTAAAAGAGGGGAAGTAAAAACTAAAAACCTCTTCAGAGGAAAACGATCTTGCTATTTACAACTTCAAAGGTTATAAGCACACCTTACAGAAAGTTAAAATTTCATTAGCTTCTGTGCTACTTATAGTTGTCTTAACACTAAACAAGTCAACTTTATGTTCTTTCTCGCTGAAGATGTTTGCTATCCTCCTTTGTCCTCAATGGGAGCTCTTTCAGCTGACATAGCTGCTGGTTTGAGTCCTAAGTCCAACATTGAACAACTTGTCTTCTAAAACAGAGTCAGAGAACTCCTGCAATACACATTTCCCAAAGGAAACTTGCATTAACACTGAAGAGTAGCAAGATAGAAGGGTCAAAAAACCAACAAAAAAAGGATCACCTTCCATTTGTTAGGTTACCTAAATGATAGAACTGCAGCTAGTGAGCTTGTGTTCAGCCCCACTCCTCTTAGAAAAAGTACTCTATCCCTTCCACTCATTATAACTACACTCTGAAGACCAGAGTGATGTGTACATGGTATACAAACTACAATAAGGATTCAGAAATGAGGAGTCATGCAATCCTAAAAATCTGCAGACAGATCTTTTTACTGCTTCTGAAAAGTGTTCTTTTTGCACAAATCAATTTTTCCAGACCCAACTGCAGTCTCATGGCACTTTGGGATAGAAAGATAACATGCCTGAAGAAGGGAAAAGAGATGGTGAATAACCCTAAGGACCAAAAGCCATGGCCATTTTAAAGAGTCTATATATAAAATGAAGGCTCATTTAAAACTAAAAAAAACTTGAAAGGGAGACTATCACTCCAGTTAACTTCCACATATATTCATTGAAACTGCACTGAGACTGAGCTACCTGGAACAGTTCCTTTATTTGCATACACTTGTGTTTTCTGTAAAGGGTCAGAGATAAGTTCTGCCTTCAGCCACTGCAGCAAGACTTCACTGGTGTAAGCAAATTTGAATGAGAAGTGACTGACTAGAGAGCAAGGTCATTATATGCCAAATTGGGCTCTTCTGATTTTCTTTTCCATTTTATGAGATTCCTCATGTCCCTTCATTCTGCTCACCCTGCTAGACATTCATGACCACATTTATGGCTGATGGCAAGTTGCCCTACTCCCACAGCATTCCTTCCAGCCAAATCACAGTTGTCAATCCAATTGCATCTATCAAGCCAACGGTAGATGGTTACATGGAGTCCAGTTCTCAATGCGTTTATCTTAACCTAGTAGACAAATGTTCCAGGAAAGACGGCCTCAGGAATGAAGAGACAATTTGCTAGGCAAATGTTTCCAAGTCTGCAAGTAATGCCTATTGCAAGTTTTAACTATCCATGGACTCTAAGCTGCTTGAATTCAGTACAAAACAAGAAACATACCCTACGGAACACCTTTTTAGTCAGAAGTTAGAAAGACAATGAGCAAAGAAAGAATTATAATGGAAAAGAAATACAAATCTAAGGCACAAATATCTTGGGCTGCACTTCGAAGACAGTCATTGGCCCCTTGTGGGACTGTCAGCAGTGTGAATTATCCCATGATTATTTTCCTAGTAAAACAGCGATAACAGTTATTTAATGTCAGAACTGTCTTCTGGTATTAAACTGAAAATGTTTATCAATACACTAAGAGCACCGGATGACAAGTGCACAGCATGCCATGTCTAGAACACAGCTCTCTCTCAAATTCAGACAGTGTCTGAAGCCCGGAAAGCCAACTATATATCCTGGGCTGCATCAAAAGAAGACTGGCCACCAGGTCAAGGGAGGCGATTCTCCCCCTCTACTCCGCTCTCCTGAGACCCCACCTGGAGTGCTGCATCCAGCTCTGGGGTCCCCAGTAAAGACATGGACATGATAGAGTGGGTCCAGAGGAGGGTCACAAAAATGATCAGAGGGATGGAACACCTCTCCTATGAGGACAGGCTGAGAGAGTTGGGGTTGTTCAGCCTGGAGAAGAGAAGGCTCCAGGGAGGCCTTATAGCAGCCTTTCAATAAAGGGGGCTTGTAAGAAATACAGAGAGAGAGACTTTTTACTGAGGCCTGTAGTGACAGGAGAAGGGGTAACAGTTTTAAGCTGAAAGAGTATAGACTTAGATTGGATATAACGAAGACATTTTTTACAGTGAGGATGGTGAGACACTAGAACAGGTTGCCCAGAGAAGTTGTGGATGCCCCATCTTTGGAGAGCTCAAGGCAAGGTTGGACAGGGCTTTGAGTAACCTGGACTAGTGAAAGATGTCCATGCCCTTGCCAGGAGGGTTGGAATAGATGAACTTTAAAGGTCCCTTCCAACCCAAACCATTCTCTGATTCTGTGAAGGAACTCCAAAGCTTTCTGTTTAATACTGAGGTTTCTTAAATTCCTTTTAAGCTGTTAATAGTAAACTCAGAGGAAGCATAGTACTAGAACATACTGCACTCCTCTTAGAGTGAAGGTGAACTTTCCTACAAAGCCCCTTCAAACAACTAACTGCCCGGGCAAGTCCCCTAGGAGCATAATACTGCAATTACAAAGCTTAGCAGTCAGCTTTTTCCAGTAGTACAAGAGGGTTTAATAATTTAAACCAAAAATTATTGACTCTAGCAATATTCTGATAATCTTTATGTCAAATATAATAGACTGCCCCAGAACGTCAATTTTAGTTCATCACCTCCTATGCACTTAAGCAACATCTCTAAGTACTTCATGCAGAGCCTTCTTCTACATCCTTATCCTGACAGTGGTCCCTTTGCTTTATAGCAGCCCAGCAAAGTTACTATCACATTACAGGAGTATCTGTGTGGCAGACGTTTGCTTGTGTCCAGACTTGTCTGGAATCCCCCTGGTCTCTCAGCAGAGGCTTAGCTGCAGCCATACAGCTTCTAGCCATCTCACAGTGTGAGTTGTTTGCTCATGTCTGCTGGAAAAAAAAAAAAAAAAAAGTGCATCTGTACATTAAGTGGAGGTTGGCCATAAAATCCTCAAATTCCTGAGGCCATCTTCCTTTTTTGCATGTAATAATTTCTATTTCTTTTTGTGGTCTTCACTTGAACTGGTATTTTTATTTGTATTGTTTCACCAGAATTGACCTCTGCTATCCTAAAAAAACTCAAATGTTGCTTTTGAGGTTTGGGTTGTTTGGGGTTTTTTTAGGGGATGGAGGTGGTGTTTGTTTGCTTTTGAATTGAGTGGCATACATAGGTCCTGCAACTGGTTTAGCATGGCAGCTTTTATATTCTTAGATAGTTACCACGTGTATAAGCAGTTTTTATACAGAAGCCGTTAGCTTAAATATATGTTATTAATAATATTTTAAAAAGTATTAAAGTCTTTGGAGGCTGATTATGCCAATTTTAGGAGGTTTCTAACTTTCTAACCTCTAACAACTGCAGGGAAGGGATGGAGATATACTAGCTGGTTTTGCAATACGTTCCAAAATCTGCTACGCTTAGAGACAATTCTGAGTAGTGGTTTTAGTGTTCTAGCTGTGCTGGTCGATGTTTTTTGTGTATCAAACAAAAGCAGACCAGAAGTGAAATGTCAAGAGAATCCCTCTTCCTCTACACCCTGCAAATAAGTGCTCCAAAGAGGAGCAACACAAAGTCTCAAAAAATTCTTTAAATAATATCCCACTATGATATCTGACCAGCTGGAAGAAATAACTTATAAAAGACTAAATCTGAAGTGTACATTTTAAAACAGATTTCCTCTACACACATTTGACAAGAATACCATGGCAACACAAGGCATATCTACAGGCTCTGATACAGACTGGTACGGAAGGAAGGAATAATACAATGCTTTGAAATAGTAGATGTCTCCTAAGTTGCCAAAGTGATTACGTCTTGGTTTGTTTTATTATTTTATGTTTTAAATATTATGCTAATGAAATCTTTGTTAATTATGTGGGTTTGTAAATATTTATGCAAATGAGCTGACATTTCACATATTGAGAACATGCCGGATGGTACATGCCAACATATTTTAAAAAAACACTAGTAAATCATAATGAAGTAGAGTGAGATATTTGGACAGCAATCTGACTTCCCATGCACAAATTCCACAACACATAGCAGCATTTAAAAAAAAAAACCAAA